ATATATGTGTGTGGGTATGTGTGTCCTTGATGCACGTGGCAGTCAGGACAATTTGCAGGAGTCTAATCTCTCCTCCTGCCATATGTGCCCCACCATGTGGGTCCTGGGGATTGAATTCAGGTTGGGAGGCTTGATGGCAAGCACCTATACTAGCTGAGCCAACTCACTGGCCCAGTTTTACATTTTCATTCATTTTAAAAGAGGATCTAGAAGCTTGGGGTCGAGAAATAATGCTTTATTACGAGATTTTAAAGTATTGCTCTTCTATTTTCAACATTCAGGATTGAATCTAACGACCTGCCTCTGTTGACTGCTATCGCCAGCACTCACTCTCCTTATGTGGCGCAAATACTCTTATAAGCTGAACTCAGGACAGTTCTTCTTGGAAAAAACATTCTCAGCTGAAGGAGAACACAGTAATCTTTCTGTGATGGTGAAGCGTGAGAACACAGAACAGTCATCACACATTTGTGTTGCTGCAGTAAAGTGGATGCTTCACTGGGAGGCTTAGGCTTACTCAACACCGTGGCATTTGTGATTTTCGGGAATACTCTGAGCCTTTGTTTCCCGGGAATCAACAGAAAGAATGGCCTTTCTGGCAGGAGGGAAACGTAAGCACTACAGTCAAACTAAGCTGTTGTACAGATGGCTTTGTGCTGTTGGGCAGAATATTAACAAGTGACTTTGGAATAGAGGGTATCCATCGTACAGAACATTCCAGTAGGAAAATACTTCCCATTTATAGATAAGGCTGCAGACCGGAGAGAACGTAGTATGTTCCAAGGCAGGCAGAACAACTGGGTTTCAGGTTGGAGTTTGCTTTGACAAGCGGTGGCGTGAAAAGAGCCATACTGTGCCATCGTCAGCTCTGTGCTATAGCAGCTCCTGTATGACAGAGGGCGTGGAAGAGGCTTGCCTATTGGGAAGAGAGTGCTCTGGGGACCCTTGGTCGCAGTGTGGCCACAGGCAGGTCTGAGAGGGATTGCTGGTGCAATAAGCTCAATGTAGTGTGCTACCCTGTCGGGTGTGGTGGCTAGCAGCCCAGTGTGCAGTCTCACACCAGGTGTTAATCTTCTACGTCAGCGCTGTCTGTAGCCTTCTCACGAGAGGCCATTTACCAAAGCTATTTCTGTAAGCGCGAGTGTTTCTGTTGGCTAGCTCTTCCAGCCTGAGCCACTTTCCTTCTGGCATAGCTAATACAAATGGCTGTTTACACTTTAAAAGGTGCAGCTGTCCCACTGGGAAGTGAACCATGCAACAGTTCAAGGTGACAAATGAAATTGGGCAGTTGGGACATTTAGAAGCAATCCATGTGCGATTCAAGTTTTTACAAGGGTCAACTCTGCACCTTCTAATCCCTTTAATGGTCTTAAAACATCTTTCCAGAAATTAACCATTGCATAAAACTTACCAAAGTGAAGAGTCAGTAGTCTAGTTCACTTTTTTTTTCCAAAAAAAGCTCAATTTTTTTTGGTTACTATTAAAGAAAGTTAGTGACCATTAAACAGTCTGTGTTAATAGACTAAATTTTTTTTAAAAACTGATGGTTGAAAGACAGGAGCTGGTCAGGCAAAGGCACTGAGCTCCTTACTGCTTTCTGCGGGTCCCTGCACCTGAGAATGTGGTTTGGCTCTTCTAGGGGTTCAGATGACTTCATGATGTCACATCCTGATCCATGTGACATGTCTCTGTTCTTTACAAATACTAGTTGGTTGAGCCATGCTGACTGTTCTGCTGGTCATAAATGGCTCCATTGCTTCTCAGAGGTGGGTTGGAACCACCCCCTTTCCCTTTTTGTGCTTTGTAAGAATAGTTGAGAGCGTCAAGGCACTTAAGAGCTTTAATTTGCATTTTATATATTTCACTAAATTGAAGTTTTTCATTCTTTTCTAATGTTTTTCCCATTCCCCTGTTACCTTACATTTGAGTTGCTGTTTTCCATTCCCTGCATCCATGATGTCACCATTTGCTGTTACAGGAGGAGGAGCCCCTCCTCTGCCTCCTTGGCTCTCCCTCCTGTGGATGAGCTGTCAAAGCTGATGTCTCAGCTCCCTCCCTCCCTCCCCAGCTTGGGCTCCCCTCCTCTCTCACCCACTCCCCTCATTTACACATGGACACTTTGACTCATTCATCACCTTCCAAGGTTTCAGAGGAAATAGCTCAATACAAAATCAGTTTAGTTTTCATTCGAATGTAGTAACGTGTTGAAAATTAGACTCATCTGGGAAACTGAGTTTTAAACAGGTTGATTCTCAACTTCCTACATGAGAAACTTAGACCAGCCCCCCTCAAAGCCTGAGAAAATTTGCTTCTTAATCTAATGTTCCAAAACCTGAAAACTGTCTGGTGGGAAACAGCATACGGGTCACATGCAGGGTTGTTTGTGTCACTCGGGACTGGCAGAGCCCAGCTTCTCCTGCTGCTGCAAGGCACACAGGAACACAGCTGCTGTTTCATAAACCTCCTGAGGTAAGGAATGTTCACCTTTTCTTTGTCTTAATTCAACCTCCTTCCGAAAGCAAAAACAATCCCATGGACTTCTGTTGAGACACGCCCACTCACGGCCTGGACCGCTGGTGGCTTCATTCTCTCGCAGCCGAAGAGTCAAGAAAGGGATCTCACCCTCCTCTATGCCCAACTCAAGGAAAAAAATTAAAAATTTTTTAAAAATAAAGAAATCTACCTCAGTTGACAGGATTCCACCTGAGGGCTCTTCAGCTCTTAGGCTTGGCTGCTGTCCCTTTGTAGCGCCTTGCTTGTTTCAGCAAGCCAGGGAGGCCGACAGCAGATGTGGGAAGCTCTCCTGGGATGGACTCTTTCTAGCATGTTGTGGCTATGTATTTGATAAGTGATATGAGTGTATAGGTAATTGTGTACGTTTTAAACCTGGCAATGAAAATTTCAAATGTAGCTTCCATACCTGTGCATAATCCCAAAGTGTTTTATTTGATCAGTGTTAAACAGCTTTTGCACAGCCTCAATCCATTTTCCTGAAGTGTGCTGTTTTTTATTGAAAGTAACTATAACCTTTTCACATCTCATGGAACTGCCGTTTACACATTGCAATTTTTTAAACTTACCATATTTTTCAGAATTAACTTTTTTGGAGGGAAGAAATTCCCCACTTGCTAAATGGTAATAAACTGTTGTTTGGGCTCTTACAGTTAGGTCCTCGGGTTTTATAAAGAATTTAGTCTGTAGCTTTTTAGGTTCTTCACTAGAGGTGGATGTACGTAAAGAATAGAAAGCAAGCCTCAGATCCCTTTAAATGTCTGCGTTTTTCACTAACACTACTTTGGGGGTGTTTTGTTCATGCATACCTTTACCATGAAATTGAAAAGTTCCTTATCTTCTCTTAGTTCTGTGAACCCTTTGTTTTTTGTTGTGTTGCTGGAGAGGACTTTTCAATAAAATTTTGCCTAAATCAAACAGCCCCCTCTGAATGTTAATTTTTAAAATGTTACAATGTAGTGAACCCTACATCTGAAACATGCATCCACAATATTTTTAAATTTAAGTGGTGGCTTAAAAAGGAGAAAATTCTGGGATGTGTTGTTATTGATCTTCCATTAAGAGAAACTGATAGGACATTTTTTAAATCAGTTGAATGAATACCAGTGTCTGTGATGGAAAATTTTCATAAAGCATTCATGTATCATTTTGATCCATTTTTTTCTGTGACATTTGGTGCAATAAACTTTTTGAATTTATCTTGAACAGTTTCCTGGTGCTGCATGTGATTTGTTTGCTGCATTTAATCAAATGGAAAGTCTTATGACAGTGGGGGGCAGGCAGGGTCATTCTATTTCAGTGGTTTTCAGCAGGATATTTTGGAAGTGAGGATGTTTTGGTTTGTACTCTGATGGGTGAGGGCACTGGCCCAGCACACTGTCGGGGCCAGGGTTAACAGGAGACATGCCCTGGAGCCTGTGAGAACACCCCAGGGCCAGCTCTTTGTAACCTTTACATGCCTTACCTGACATTCAGGGGAGTGACAAACCTGGTTTTACTGATCTAAGCTGATTTGTGGTTTCTACGTGATCTTACTACCATCTGGTGAAGTTTTCAGGAATGTAGCTGTTATCTACATCGGGGGAAGGTTTTACTTTGGAAGGATTTTAACAAGAAGTGGTCACTTGATCTTACCAAGACCTGGGTACTTTTGGAAACTGCATCACCAATAGTTGTAGTTCTCATGCAGTTGGACACCGGCATAGTGCATGCCCATCAGTCTGCAGTTGTAGCTGTCACTTCCATGGAGCTGTGTACATGTGTAGGCATCTCTCCAGCTTCTTAAACCTAAGATTATGCTTCAAAATTTCCATGTTAAAGAATGTACTTTTAAAATAGCATTTTCAGGAGCCAGTGAGATGGCTCAGCAGGTAAGGGTGCTTGCCACCAAGCCTGATGACTTGAGTTAGATTCTAGAGCCCACATGGTGGAAGGAGAGAACGGACTCCCATAGGTTGTCATCTGGCTGGCAAGTAGCTTCCAACATGCTGATGGGGGGGGAGATTTTTGCCCTGGCTCAATAGCTTTGGTGGCACATCTTCAGTAGAATGATACCCAAGCATTTTGCAAAGCTCAACCACCTGGACACCAGCATTCTTGTCACTTGCAACTGGTTTGGTAACAGTAGCGAGACTTTTCAGTCTTGCATATAGCATCTGAGCACCTCCTGTCACGCAGGGTCTTTCTGGAACACACAGCAGATTGAGAGGATGTGCCAGTTCCCCCTGGCAGTTCAGAGTTTGGGCCATTGTGCGCTGTCCTCCCCGCCTTGCTGATGTTAACAGTAGGGCTGTGCTTCGTAGCTGTGGAACCAGCCCTCTCCTAGCGGTTTCTTAGTGTGCAGCTCTTGACTTTCTTGCCCTCATCTCCCTTTCAAGACAGAAAAGAGTACTTTGGTTTGGTTTGGTTTGGTTTGGTTTTGTTGTTGTTTTGAGACAGGCTCTCCCTTTAGCCCCAGCTGGTCTGGAACTAAGAGATCCACCTGCCTCTACCTTCCAAGTGCTGGGATTAAAAATTTGCCCCACTACATCCAGCTGGAAGCCATTTTTTAAACCATGCCATTGATCAGGGACTTAGGCATGTAGACCACACTGCACATTCTACTTTGGTACCCTGCTGCCTAGATGCTTCTGTATCTGTTGTATCATTTAGTCCTCATGGCTTGGTGAGATGGGTACTGTGATGATGAATTGTGTATGTCAACTTGGCTAGATCATACTAAGATACTTGATCAAATGCAAGTCTAGGTTACACCGTGAAGCTATGTTTTTTTAAAGATATGATTAATATTTGAATCAGTAGACTGAGTAAAGCACATTACCCACTAAAATGTGGGTGGGCCTCATTTAATCAGTTGAAGGACTTAGGAGTGAAAAGACAGTAACCCCAGGAAGAGGAGCATGCCTCCAGGTGACCTTCAGATCCAAACTACAAACTTTTGTTGGTCCCAGCCACTGACCTGCCCTATAAACTGCAAATTTGCCAGCTCCCAGTTACATGAGCCAATTCCTTAAGATCAATACCCCTTTCTCCATCTCTCCAAATAATACAAATAGGTCCCCTGACTGGTATAGGCACTGAAGAGATCAGTTTAGTGGTACTTACAACCAAAATGGAGTTGGATGGCATCCAGATACTGTAATAGCAACCTACAGGAAGTACCCCCATCTTCTTTACTCCCTCTGTCCCTCTCTCTCTCCAGACAAGACCTCACTGTGTAGCCCCTGCTAGCTTAGAACTCACTAAGTAGATCAAATTAGCCTTGAACTTGTGACAATCCTCCTGCCTCTGACCTTCCAAAGTGCCAGGATTACAGGACTGTGTTAAAAGACCTGGCTTGGATTTAGACTTTTAAACAAATAGCTTTCACATAATGAATAGTACAGTTCCCTCTACACTGTATAGACGACTCCTCTGTTGTGTCTCCTGCTTCCTCCAGACTTCTCTCACCAAGCTCTGACGGTGCAGCCTACATACATCCCCTCTCCCTACGTGGCCTGAAGAGTTCCCCAGGTCTGGAGTGTCTTGTTCTGTCTCTGTCTCACTGTATCACCTTTTCTCCTTTCTTTCTGCCTTATTTCAATCCTTCCCTGTTTTTTAGTTCAGTTGCTGTAATGCCTTCTAAACTCTTTCCTTTCCTGTCAAAAAGTTCTATCAATACTATTCACAGTGAAGGTTTAATCCTGTCCCTCCTCTGTTTAAGCATCAGCCCAGGGACTGAGTTGAGATGCCTGAGTGCTCGAGAGCACTGGCTGCTTTTGCAGAGGACCTGTTTTCGACTCCCAGCATCCTATGGTGGCTAACAACCATCTGAAACACTAATTCAAAGAGATCCAACGTCCTCTTCTGACCTCCATGGGCATTGCACGACATGGGCGCACTTACATACATGCAGGCAATATACTCATACACATAAAATAAGAACAATAAAATATTTTAAACATCAGCCCAGAAAAACCAAGTGCTTTAGCATTATGAATGCAAAGAAGTCAGTTGATTATCTTTAGCAGCATCACCATATCCTCCCACTCAGCCTCCTGCCTCTTAAGTAGTTGGAACTACAAACACACTCCATAGTGCTCAGCTTCTTTGAACACAAATATCCAGCCATATTGAAGCTCTTAAGCTTCCCCAAAGGCAGGCCAATATAGGGCTTTGCCCTTCCTGTCTCCTGTCTCCTTTCCTTTACCCCACTAATGCCCCCCCCCCCGCTCTACCTCCAAATTCAATTCATGATCAAATCCTCTGGTACCTTACTCAGGTTCCCCAGATCAGCAACAACCATGAGTGTTGCCTGGGAGCTGGACTGAAATGCAGAATGGAAAACCCAGTGCAGACCTACTGACCTATAATCTGCATCTGAATTCAGTCTCCACAGGATTTATGTGCACATTAACTTCTGAGAATAGAGTTCTTGATCGCAAAGGCAATGAGGGGGTGGCAGAAAGAATGTATCAGCCACCGAGATCCACACTGATGCATTGGAATGAGGATGGCAGTGAGAATATTGGAAGCAGAGAAATGAACTAGAAATGGATGGCGCGGAGAGGCTTGTGCCCACGAATTTACACCATTCTGATGGCTGCTACCTTCTAAAGAGAAAAAAAGTGAAGATGGAGAATAAATGAAATAGAAGACAACTTGAACAATGTTTCATGATTTTTTAAAAAGAAATTTAGCAAGTGAAGCACAAATTAGCACAATTGAATTCCAAAAATATTTTAAGATCATCCTGGGTAAATGTTACAAGAATGTTCCATGCCATTAAATGTTAGAAAATGTACTTTTTAATGTTGTAATTAAGTTCTCAAGTTTATAAGTAAAAACACGCATCAGTACAAGTATAGAACATCCTGTCAACCACCATTTAGATGAGAAGATACGTAGTAGGTGGAGAGGATGGAGTTTACACCTTAGTGGCTCTAAAAATAGGATTCTTACAATGTAAGAGTGAGAAATCTCTCAGTGTGGTGGCACATGCTCTCATCCCAGCACTCTGGAGGCAGAGGTATGAAGATCAGGAGTTCAAGGTCATCCTCAACTACATAGGGGGTTTGAGGCCAACCTGGGCTACATGAGACCTTCTCTCAAAACAAGAATGGGAGATATGGCAGCCTCAGCTTCTCCAGTAAGAACTGTAATAACTACCACCATTTGCTGTTGGTTGAGTATGAGGCATTGTGTGGAGGCTTTGCACATGTCATATTCCTTGTTTGCTTTTGAATGCATGGGTGTTTCACATTTTTTGTGAAGAAGATTTATACAAAGGGAGGTGAGAGTCCTCACAGAATATCTACACCTTTGGATAATAAAAAAAAATGGACTTGGGTAACATGTTTCTAATGTATGTCTAAAATTTTAAGAGAAAGTCTGACTGATAAAAAAAAATAGTTTATTTTGAATGATTCAGTGATTTTCTTAGAAGGGTTGTGACCAGGTGATCAACTGTGCTCACTGGTGATAAGTTACAGCCACATCTGGCATGCCGAGGAGCCCTACAGCTAGCACATGATCCAGATTAGCTTGTGAGGAGACAGCAGACAAGCACACCTTCAGAGAATGTCTGCAGAACCAGCCTGCGGGCTTTAAAGACATGTCATGAAAGACCAAGACAGAAACTTAGTAATGCAGAAAAGCCAAACAAATGATAATGAAATGTAATACGTGACTCTAGCATAAATCTTAGATCAGAGAAAAATGTGATAATGAAATTCGATTATGAGCTTTAGACCTAAATCTTAAAATTATAGCCATGGTTGTATGAGAGAACATCCTCGTTCTTAGGAAATACATCCTGAACTGTTTAGGAATAAAGAGGCACTGTGTCTGCAGTTGCATTCAGATATGTGTGTGTGTGTGTGTGTGTACATACATATGTACAGGGTGAGGGAGAAAAAGAAATCAAAGCAAGTAAAATTAATTGATGGGTCTGGGTGAAAAGTATATAAGGAATTCTTTGTACTGTTAGTGCAGTTTCCTCTGAAAATTTTAAATCATTTCAAAGAATAAATTTTTAAACATCTTAAAATTTATTTTTATTTTATGTGTATGAGTGTTTTGCCTGTACGTAAATGCAGCTGGGTTGTACAGAGGCTCCGGAGGACAGAAGAGAGTGTTGGATCCCCTGGAACTGGAGTTTCAGTTGGTTGTTGGCTGCCATGTGGGTCCTGGGAATCAAACCTGGGACCTCTGCAAGAGCAGCCAGTGCTCTTAACCACTGAGCCATCTCTCCAGCCCCCTCAAAGAACAATGTTTAAACAAAAATCTTCATGCAACAACAAAAAAAAACACTTTCATTTGGAGTTAGTGGGTGATAGGTATTTGGGATAATTTAATCTGTGATAGCTGTAATCATACTCAAATGAGTTCATTAACTAATCTAAGCTCTCCTTCACACACATTGCAATAATTGCCCCATTATGACTCAGTCCAGAATTCAGCCCACGTGGGAATGTTAGCAGCGGACTACTCTCCTTCAATATAAAGTATCCCTGGGGCCAGAACCATCCAAGGGGAATCGGTGCAGCTCCCTCATAGAGGGGTACAAGTACAGCTGATGAACCAGATCTCTGGACATAGTAAGCTCTGTGCTAGTGAGTTCTCAAGACTTCAAGGAAGCAAGACAACACTTCGTGTAGGGAATGGGAATCTTTGAATGGATGTGGGCTGATCTATTTTCTTCATAGAAACTTACGTCAAAGTCTATATTAAAAACTGGACAACACCGAGGTGTATTGTGCTGTGGGATTGGGCAAAAAGCCAAGATAAAAGAGTGGTTTGTACACCAACCTCAGAAAATCAAATGTAGGCTTACACATTCTCTACCTGATTCGCATGCTCATTCTCTAGAATTTTCAGGATAATAACCAATATTCCCATCTTATTTCTAAAAACCCATATAAGGAAATTACATGACTTGCCTAAGATAGTAAAGGGGGAAGTTAAGAGTGGGAACTGGTACATTCTTACTGTTCTGAGTGGTGTGTAGGGTTTGAAGGAGAGGTGTATACATTTACTTCTGTCTTACAGACTGTTTTCTCAGCTTTTGGAAATTAGGGACCTGCACATTCTCTCCAAGTCAAACCATGTGATGAATAAACTTTTCTAAGACTGAAAACACACACCCTCTTGTTTTCTTTAGTTATGAAATGAGAGTCATATGCAACTCTTCAACTCAATGGACACTTACTGTGGAATCCAATATGGATTTGACACATCGTGGAATCCAGGTCTGGTTTGATAGATTAAAAGAAGTATGAAACTGTCAGTAACACAAACAATATTCTCTAGTCTGCATGTTAAAACAGCCCACCTTTTCTCTAGGATGACCAGGGAGATGACAGGCCATACCTTCTCTTCCTTCCTTGGCACCTTGGGCAGCCGTGATGACAGGGCAGTGCTTGGTGACTTACTCTGCTTAACAAGAATAGCCCATTTGGAGTTTCTCTGCTGAGTGTCCTCGTAATCACTCATGTTCCAGGCAAGAAAGCCACGACTGTACCCTCCTTGCTTGTCCAGGACAGAAGGCTTTGGTTGCCTGTAATGGGAATAAGTTCTTTGGGTCAGATGGCAAAGATCTAGAAACAGCTGCCAGTTTTCAGTGGATGAGTTTTGCTTCTCGTTTGAGGCAATTTCTGGCCATCAGGCTAAAATGAGCTGAAAACCTGACCCACTACCCTGAGAAGGTTCTGGAGGTTTCCAAACTCTGCATCTCTGGATGTCCAGCTGCTGGAGATACCAGGAACTGGCTGCCCCTTGGACACTTACTACCAACCTTGAACACATCCGTCTCCCCACCGCTCTGGAACCCTGTCAGAGCCACACATTGAAGATGTTGTGAAGAACAAGGTGGCTGAGATCTCATGAGACCTGGCAACTGTTAAGTACGTGACCTGTTGATTTTAAGGTCTTGTGGACATCAGGAAAGTGTAGCTCTGTGATTCCAAACTCCAACTTTTCACATTTTAGAGCAAAGATCTAGGCTTCATCCTCTGTGCCCAGTGAAGTCCTGCCTAGATTTCCAAATCTTAAATTAGAACATTATCTCAAGGCCCTTTCCATTTGAAAGAGCCAGCTCTAGAAAACAGAAATAGGACTAGCAGGTAAGGATTTTCCCCCTGGTTTGGAAAGTTAGCCCTTGGCCTGGCTGCCAGAGCCCTGGGACTGCCAAGCTCCCTGTCTAGAATCTTACTTTTATGGACTCTGGTGTGTGATGGTCATCTTTCTGTTACTGAAACAAGTACCTGAGATGATCAACTTAGGAAAGGTTTGTTTCGGTTCATGGTTTCTGAGGTTCCAGTCCATAATCTCTGTTGTTTTTAGGCCTGTGGCAAGACAACGCATTGTGGTGGGAGCGTGTGGCAGAGAAAACCACTCATCTCTTAGAGTAAGAGGAAGAGGCCAGGGTCCCATCGTCGCCTTAGAAGGCACACATCCTCAACAACCTGAAGATTTCACCTCTACCCTTTAAAGATTCCATCACCTCCCGAAGCACCAGGCAGGGCCAAGCCTTTAACACACGGGCCTCTGTGGGGCAATCTTGATCTGACTGTAGTGCCACGTTCTTTGAAGCAAGATCTGTGGCAGGTCTGCATCATTCCTTACTCAAGAATATACAGGTGTCTGTGCCAGACCCAGAGCAGGACACAGATAAGTGGTTGTAGACAAAGCTCTAATGTCATGGAGTTCACATGCCAACAATGGACAGCTAAGTGATTAATGGGTTGATGTGTGGGCGCCCTGGAGCATGGTGAAGGCAGATGAGTGGGCAGCTCCAGCCGTGCTGTCTCTATGAGGGCAGCAGGACCAGAAGGGGAAGTTAGCAGAGCACTAACTGAATCTGCAGAGCAAGGAGATCATAGCACATGGGGGCAGATACCTCTAGCCCGCTTCGTAGACTCATGGGACTCTCCACTGACCGCCCTGAGCCCCAACGGATGGTCGGAACTCCTTAAGCAGCATGCAAGGGCCTTGTTGCTGCTGTTTGCTTTCTGTCTTTCCTCTGGTTAACTGGTCAGACCTAGTGAGTCCTAGTGAGCTACTGAGGCCTGCTTCCTTAATCCTCCCCTGTTATCTCATACTTTCATGTGCCCTCATCCTTCACCTCCGCCAAAGAAGCCATGTGTCCAGACCTTCAGCCTGGGAGGTCAGCTTGTCTTTCTTCCTGACAAGCCACACCAAAGCAGAGTTTTAAATGTCACCTTTGAGCTGGGGAGTGCAACCGAACAGTAGAGCACTTTCCTGATACGGTTCATCCCCAGCAATGCCAAAAAAGGAATCACCTTGTCCGCGAACTCCATGAGGATGGCCCCTACTCCTGTGAAGCACTGATGTTTCTCTTTTTTTAAAAAAAAAAAGATTTTTTTATTGATTTGAGAATTTTATACAATGAATTTTAATCATATTCAGACCCCCTGGCCCCTCTTTATCCCTCCTCTCCTTCATGTCCTCTACTATTAGTTTTCTTTTATTTAAGACCTATTAAATCTAAACTGTATTTCTCAAATGCTCTTGTGTATGGGTTTATCCCTTGGTCAACCTATCAAATGACACACCAGTAAAGAAATCTGACTCTCCCTCTCCCAGCAGCTGTCAGTTACTAATAAATCCTCAGCTGTGGCTGGGGCTTCTTGCCAACATCCCCCATCTATGCTGGAGTTTGTGTGTGTGTGTGTGTGTGAGAGAGAGAGGGGGGGGGAATTGCCTGCATGTGTGTAAGTGCACCTGTCATGTAATGCCCGTAGAGGTCAGAAGAGGGCATCGTATTCCCCTGGAACTGGAGTTACAGATGGCTGTTAGCCACCATGTGGGTGCTGGGATTCAAACTCAGTCTTCTGCAAGAGCAGTCAGTGTTCCTAACCGCTGAGCCATCTCTCCAGCCCCCATACTGGGTTTTATCAGACCTAGGTTTGCACGGGTCTTGTGCATGCTGACCCAAGTGCTATAGGTTCATGTGTGCAACCCCCCTGTTGTGTCCAGACAACATAGTGTCCTTGTATTCATCCACCACCATCTAGCTCTTATAATCTTTTTATCCCTTTTCCATGGTGATCCCTAAGCCTTGGAAGGACAGGGTATGATATCGGTGTCCAATTTAGGGATGCGCACTCTACAGTATCTTATTCTCTGCATGATTCACCAGTTTTTGCATCTTTGTGTTAATCGCCATCTACTGCAAAAAGAACCTTCTCTGGTAAGAGTTGAGAGGTACACTAATATATGGTGTAGGCTGAGTAATGGGGTAGGGAATGGGAGGGAAAGGCAGAAGAGGGAGTAAGGAGGGATAACTAATACGGAAGGCCTTTTGAAAAAGTCACGTGGAAACCTGTAGAAGTTCCTTTCAATATAGAAATATAGAAATATAGAAAAAGTTTAAATGAAGTTGCCCTACAACAGGGATTTGGTAGCCCAATTAGACACCATAGGCTAGCAAATAAAAAGCCCAGTGCCACAAGCAGACTCCCCTTTTTGGAGTTATGGACCAGGGTGGTTCCATAGACCCTCAAACAATACTGGCTCTTGCCATTGCACTTGGTTACCTGCTAGAACTTGACAATAAGACCCCATTGCTAAAGACACTACATACCTGAGTTGTAGAACAAACAGGAGAAATCAAACTGGTATTGACCTTGAAGCTTCATCTCTACTGGCTAGCTTTCATGTACTAGAAGGTACTATGCATTTTACTGGAAGAGAAAGGTAATCACCAACCTTACCCAGCTGTGGACCCTGAGAACTACAGTAACAACTGGCTTGGCAAAATATGCCCAGTGGTGCAGTAATGGCATGAATGTTATGGGACTAACCAACCACCTTCTGATTGGATTTAACGTCTGCTTCATTAGATGGAATCCATGCCTAACTGTGGCTAAACAGGTCACAGGCCATTTAGGAGAAACTTCTACTATTATTCTGCTAAATAGTATCCTGAAACTGTTTTGTTATATATATATTTTTTTCTACTTTATTTATAGAAATTATCAGAACATGCTTAAATGTCAAGCTCAACAGTCTGTCCATCTGAATTCAGTGCTCTCCAAAGAATCCAGAAAATACTTTACCATGAATCTCTGAGACCATTATCCTGCCCAATACATAACTGACACGCAGTCTCAGGACAGAGGCAGGAAGGGGAGCTAAGTGACCTTAGAATTATCTGCATCCTTCCATTCCTTTCGCCCACCTATTCCCACAGCCCTTTTTCACTACCAATGGCAGATACACAGGAACAACTCTTGATACTCAGTTTTTCTGTTTTATTACTTAAAAGTACAGCTCAGTGGCTTGTGCTAAGTAATATTTTCAGCTTGACAGGATCTAGAATCTCTAAAGAGACAAGCCTCTAGACATGCTTGTAAAGGATTATCTAGATTAGGTTCATTGAGGTGGTAAGCCCCACAGTAAATGTGGGCTTCACCATTCCACATGCTGGGGCCCCCAGCTGAACGAAATGGAGAAAGCAAGCTGAGCAGCAGTATGTATCACTGTCTGCCTCCTGACTGCAGATGCAATGTGACCAGCTGCCTCCTGGCCCTACCGCCATGGCATCCTTGCCACTGTGGACTGTCCCCTCAAACTGTGAGCTTGTCCTTTAAATTTACAATATATCATGTCCCTGAATCTTGAATGACCAGAGCAATGGAAAGTTAAAAATGAGTTTCAAGGGACTGGAGAGATGGCTCAGTGGTTAAGAACACTGGCTGGTCTTGCAGAGGACCTGGGTTCAATTCCCAGTGCCCATAAGGTAGCTAACAAGTGTAACTCCAGTTCCAGGGGATCCAACACCATCTTCGGACTTCTGTGGGCATTGCATGACACAGGTGCATTTAGATACATGCAGGCAATACTATTCAATCACATTAAATAAGAATAATAAAAGAAAACAAAACAAGAAAAAATGAGTTTCAATTCAGACTTTGAAGCTCTCATAGACATACTGGTAACATCAGCTATAGACAGCTGCCCACACTACATTAAATGTACTAATGGGCCCAAAGTCTAAAAGTGATAAACCAGGGAGCAGAAGGCATGGGTGTCAGGCCCCCTGGAAGCACACACAGCATCAAACACACATAATGAATGGGAAACAACGAGGCCAATTGTAACAGAAAAATATTCTTCCTACTAATCATTGAATTAAGTAGTCCCCTAAGTAATATCTAAAGTCAGATATTACTTCTTGCTTCTTCCCCTTTACACTTATAGAAAAGTTGAAAACCCCACCCAAAACTTTTTCTGAATCATTTATAAGTACATTGTTTACAGGATAGCTGTCATCCCTGATGCATGTAATTTCTACAAGCAAAGACATTCTACATAACCTTAACATAGCCATCAAAATAAGAGAAAGGCAGAAAATTCACGTCTTTATGCTATTATCTCTAACTTGTAGACACCACGTTTTCCAATTGTTCCAATAGTGTCCATTTTGCAAAAGGACATTTCAGGGATAGAGTGAAGTGCTGTGATAGAGTGCTTGCAAGGAATCGGAGTCAGTGCCACACACCATCAAAATAAGCTTAAAGAAAGACATCCCAG